CTGAAACTTTGCACATGTCTATCACACATGTTAGTGTACATATGTACATGTACTTTTAGCGACAGCAACAATCGTGCCTTTGTCATTATTAGCTGGCGCGTTCTACTTTTCATTTTAGGCACTTTGAATGGCCAGTAAAAAGAAGGTGGTAGTTTCATTGAGGCTCGGGGTGTGGAGAGCGGCATGGGCGGTAGCTGTGAAATAAAGGCAAGTGAAGCCGTATTGGGTCATATGGATGTCACGTCAACGCTGCTGGGATGCGGCTAGGGACCGGTCTCTATGGACTTACCTGCTTTTATTTGCAGACCATTCATGTGCAAGCCCCAACGTCGAGACATATAGTCCACGCTTGACACGCTGTCACCTTCTTTGTTTTGCTAGGGATATACCTTTAACGTGACGCATTTACTTGCAAAGTTGTTTTCATTACATGTATTCGTTAGTTCGTTCTCTAATCACGGTCGCTATTCACGCGACGGGGCTACATGATGCGAATGCAAATCGTTCGCTCGAGTCAAACTGGCTAATGCGAACACTGATTTACGTAACGGAGGTGGGCGGCTGATCTTCGAACGGAGGGGCAAATGTTCAAAACGAATCCAAATTCATTCACAAAAGGGCTGAAGCACTTTGCTAGCGATTATGACATAGCACGACCCACAAGGGACCGCGTGAATGAAAAGAAGATATCATATCGAACCCGAACCAAAACAAAATCTGCAGCTACACGTGCGTCTTGCATGGGTCGTGCATAATGAAGCAATAGCGAGGTGATGACTTAGCGAAATGTCTTCCTGTATGCACAGGATGGTATCACTAGAATCCTATTGTCTTCACACATACCCTTCACACACTGCATTCAGTGTCTACGGGTATCGCATAGTAGATGGGTACGTAGAGGTGATTGGTACCGACAGACAGAATCCTCTACATACATTTGTGTACGTAACAATGGCTACGAGGTGAAAAGTATCGGACTCATACTCTTATCACGTTAACAATGGATATGCCCGTTATTTTATTATTGGACAAGTGAGTCGATGTTCTTTAGCTAGTTGCATTCTATATTTTGCCTGGTGTTCCGTCGCGCTACTGAACAGTGTTTAAGGTAAGTAGTCGTAGCGGGGTCTGACCGTTGTTTCCACCTTAATATGTATGACAGTATCCAAAGCCCGATAACTATCATCACGATCTACCAGTAAAATGGATAAGTTATCTTTACGGAACTGGTTCGCGCTTCGAGGTTGCATCAGTTCAGATAATTTTATGCATAGTGTAACTAGCCCGACTCAAGGGCCAATAGTAATTTTTATTGAAAATACTTATACGTATGGTTTTATAAAAATATCGGTGAAAATTTGAAGCCCCAATGAGTGCTGGAACACTTTGTAAAATGATGAATAAGACAATAGTGCAAAACCATGAACTTGGTGGTGACAAATCTGTGTAAAGTATTTTACGTTTGACCTTGAGCTATGTTGATCGGGATCTGTCAATGACCATATATGCATCTATTGGAACATTATATTAAGCTATTACAGGTGCATCTGGCGTACTTTTGAATTAAATAAATTTTTTAAGTAGTTAGACTAGGAGAATGTTATTTTTTATAATGCGTTAGAGACGCCCTTTTTATCTTTTTGTGTGTCAGAAAACAAGAAAAACCTCTTACGTTCGCTTAGCCATTCTTCAAACCTTTAAAAAGATCTAATAGCAGGTGCTTTTACCTCATTTTGATGCATATCCCTTGCCACTCATTAATGCTTCATCTATATACATATTAAACACGTTAAAAGGGCAATGGAGGGGCGAAAATAGTGAGAATCACAGCAGAATACGAGCCTCGAGCGGTAGCTGCGATATCTGTCTCAACGTATTCCGTTTATTTGTCCATCAAAGAAATGCGTAGGCCAAACTCTATTTAATCTGTACTCTCTTCGACTGTACGGTCAGACATTATTCTTTTAGTGATCACTATTCGACAAATTTATGGTGGCGGACCTGTTAGAAGTCGTCTATGTGCGTGCGGTTACAAATGAAAAGGAAGAGCTTCATCCTTGCGTGACTCTGCCGATACTACCGAATCATAGTAGCTGATAGAAAGATAGTCCAGATAAGGAACTATAATAATTCTTTTTAACACGTTACTTCAATTGTAATGATATTCCAACATCGTTCGTAAAAGGATAATCATTGGAATTACTATTACTCCCATAGTAAATGATGAGGACACAACGACCGTAGAGTTGTCGTCGTCCCATCGATTTTTTATACCTGTGGCTGTTGATTTGACTACCATTTTGAGCGCTTGAACCACATTGCGTGATGAGATGAAGGTGGCATGGGGCCGCTTCCGAAATTTTTCACTGACGAAGACGGCGATACTTCTAAGTCTAGAGCTCAATCCTTTGGACACGTGTCGCTCATATACTTCCGGGTTTTACCATGACTATTGTATGCTGACGTTTGTCTCGCTGAGCACTTGTGCAGCACCCCTTACATTTGACTGCATCTTTTTTTATCAGTACGGAGGGTTAGGAGGGTTAGCTTCAGAGGGTTATCAGGCGGAGCCGCTAACCCTCGAAGTGCTTTGGAGTACAGTCATGCTTGTAACGGATATCCGAGACTTGGTAGGCCTGTTTCTTTTTCTTGGCTTCAAGGGAGTGGGGCCTATGCAGGTGCCACTCTGTTACCAAGCCCACAGGCGAAAAAAGAGCGTCTTTAGGAAACGCCAGTGGATCTAGCGAAAACCCCTTAATTTACGTCGTCTATCGAGGGAAAACCTCGCGCTGGCAAGAGTGGGTTACTCGTCACGTACAAAAGGCGTTTATTTCAATTATATATAGTACATTTAAATTATTAAATAGTGGCCTTTATTTGCGTCCAAGAATTTTTGAATAGCTCTGTCAACTTATTGAATGTAACCTTAATTGTATAGAGTAAATGGAATAATGAATAATATCTGAAAACTTATTTGCGTAAACAGGTTTTAGCAGCACTAAAGCATGGAACTGACTACTTTGGATCCGATGCTTCAACGCGTTGGTGAAGTAGCAATATGCCTGATTTCTTCATAATTGATTCTTAGACCTAAATATTTAATTATTTATATATATTACTGATTTCTCCGCATCCTACCTTCCTCCGTCTCTTTTCACTCTGTATATTGGATCTTATTGTTTCAGCTATTGTTTTTTCAATTTTTTATATATCTTTATCGAGGCCTCATTGTGTAGGTGTGTCCTCACTTAATTGGTGGTACAAGCTAGCATACCCAACCCATGTCGCGGGTTTTAAGCTCCCGCCGCTTCCAAAATATTCGAGTCATCGCGTGACTGATGTAAAAGACCATATTTCATTCAATTATAAGTATTGATGCCCGAGTGTTGACACGAAGAATGGGAGTATATATGCTCTGCTGCATAATCAAGTAAGCAATAGCGTAAACTTAGCTAGATATTTATCAAATACATTATTAAAACTGATGGTTATGGCGTTCTTGTATGTTGGAGAAGCTGTGATATTTTATTCAATAGAACGGTTGAAAGAGGCAAAAGAAACCTAGGTAAACATGCTTAAGGGTTTGTGGCAGTGCAACTCGATCCAAACTGTTATCGAAAATGAGCTTCTGAAATGGCTTGTCCCTAAGGGTCATTCATTGTTAACGCTAGGTGAGCTTTTTGATTTCCTGCCGTAAGTTGGTCTCAGTTCTTCAAGACCTAGATTGTCCATCTGATTGTCGGCCGGCTCAGAACGGGGCCCAATTGAAGTCAATGAAATCTTGTTTACAAAGCCTGTACTTCAATGACAGTTAGAATACGTTCGCAATCCATTATTTGGTCATTTCATGCAATAAGGCTATGTTCTGGTCTTTTCCTATTTTCTAAAGTTGCTAAGAGACCATTTTCGCGCATTACGGACCGGTCATATAGCCTGGAATTTCAAAATGCCTACAGCAGCCTTTCGAAAATTGAGATCGAATAATTTTAGTAGAGTAGGCACTTCATAAGCAATAAAGCTTATTCAGTTTCGAAAGCCTTAACTACACCTTTTTCAATTTGGTTCCTGGACCCTTTTGCTCCAAACGATATTCGAACCGAGGCGCCTTTTCGACGACAAGCGCCTATACATGTGTATATATGGAGCAAGCCTACATAGGCTATCGGAGAACAGTTGTGCTGTGTGAACATTTGTTTAACTGTGTCTCGGAGCATTTGAATAACCGACGTTATTGACAAATAAATTATTGTTAATAATGGTTTCGTTGATTTTTGTTAGCACTAAATGCAGTTATCCTATCGATAATGCTTATATCTCGATTGTGTTTCCCGGTCATCTGGAATCTAACCTAGGTATAGTAGGGCTGTCTTGTCATGCGCGGTCCCGATCCATCTTTCTGGATGACGGTTTTTGTTGGTGTGATATGGACTGCCATCACACGCTGTGATGATCTATGAGTTTGTCTATGTGAATTTGTGTGTATGTACGTGTGCAATTAGGATAGACAAATGGCTGTCGCGCGTACCGATTCCTGCATATTGTTACTGTCAGATACAAACATATGCTGCGCAAATGTTTGATATCAAGGTAGGTTGATAGGTGCTATTGATGCAGCTAGTCGACAAGGTGGCGCTAACAGGGAATGATCTAACTGCTCTTTGAGAGGAGTTACCAAGTCCGCGGCAAGTTCCGCGTTCGTTCTCGTATCGCTAATGAGCTGTTCTGAATTGCACTACGACAAACTTGACATTTACGAGGCGCCTATAAAATCGGCGGGGGCCGCTGCTTTCCAGCGGGCGCTTGCCCGACCGCCTACCCTAGCCATAAAATCCAACGTCACTCCATCGGCAGCAACGGTAACAGCAGCTGCTGTGACAACGAGTGCCATTTGCGGCGCAGACGCGAATATTTCAGAAGTGGTCCCCGAACGATGATAATGTTGCATGATAGGTACTAACATCTGAGATCACCATGTATAGCAATAGAACAGATTAGTGTTTTGTTACTCGTAAATTGGTCGCACGGGTAGCGAGTGGTCAGTCAGTGCGCGCTTTAGACAGACGGATTTAGATAGCGATAAATGTGTAACGCCAGATACGGGTTATTTATGCTACCTGACGCCGTACTGACGAGAAAACGCTCATGCGACATTTGAGGTAAACTATTACCACTGAACTCGGGACACTGGGGTGAATTTTCCCACTATGTACTTTCTGTACGGTGGCAATACATGATTTATATTAGGGTAAGGTTTCGTGCCAAGTAGCAATCACCTTTTAGTAAGGACAGTGGTCGCAGTTATTATTCGATAAAAGACATAGCATACGTTTGCTAGTTACTTGTGACCAGCGAGAAACCTGGTAATGGCCAGTGTGCTAGTTTGGAGTTGGCTGTCCGTAATATTGTTAGTACGAAGAAAACGGTTGCAAAGCACTTCGCTGTGGTAACAGGAATCGCTTGTATACGTAGCACTTTAACGGAAGCCAATGGCATACCGACATTTCGGCAACCTAACCGTTCCTTACGCGGTGACAAAGCGACGAGGGGCAAAGCTGACCTAGGTAAGAAAGACGTGCTGGAGTAGGATCAGGTTCAACCTGTTCCGGCTAAGCAGAAGGACCGATCCCCGCCTGCTGTTACGTTACCGCTGCGCGTCGCATCCTAGCAGTGTTAAAAAGAGAGATTCTAGTGCATCTCAACTGCAATAAGATCGGCTGACAAAGCGGCCAAGCGGCCTATGACTGCCAAAGGCAATTGCAGTACTTGTAGCTTCATCATAGGTGCAACGAGTAGTGCGACCCTACTAGTATTAAGTGTCTTCAGAAAGTTCGACTGGTGGGATTTTAGCTGAAAGCTGCAGTCGAAGCTCAGAGGAAGACCTCTGTGAACGCGAGCACACATAGGAGATAATGTGGGGAATCGTACGTCCAGAAACAAGAACAAGTCCTGCAACGAAGAACTGCTAAAGTCGAATGTAAATTGCCACTTCCCACAATTTAGCTTAGAAGTAGGTACTTGTGCACATCAATGGAATGGGAAATGAGAAAAAGCCTTCTTCGAGGCTTTGTCAGCCGCTGGTTTTTATGCAATTAAAAAGTAGGTGTTTCCACGCAGTGAAAACCCTCTTGACTTGAGCACAGAAGGAATACGCTTTATAAAGAGCCGTTAATATTATAGTGCTACAAAAAGCTCTTTCAATTACTCTGCTCTATAAGTAATCCACTGCGACACTTCATGGCTTTTCTTATACAAATGACACGTCGATAACCCTAGCTTACGTGGACTAGAACACATTTACAGTTCGGCTACGTCGTTTTTACATCTCTCAAAAAAGATAAGAACACATACGGGTTCTGTGTACACTGATTATTTAGTGCGTATCAGAAGATAGCGCGAAATTGACAAGCTGAAACAGATAACAACGTGCCATGATACGCTTCGATGGCTACACGTTAAACAATGCTGGACAAAGACCCAATCAGAATATATATACTTCTAAAATGCCGCTAAATTAGCGTCATCTAACAATAGGATCATTTGCATACGCTTGCTTAGGTCTCTACTCTAAGCTAGTATGAATCTAGCGAAAGTCGAATTTTTCAACAGGCACCCATCCTATGGAGACAGTGGAAAAAGTTATCCTGTGTGCCCTTTGTAGGTATGCAGAAATCGGTGATAGCGTTACCTAAGTGAGCCATTATTAATTTTCGCACACATTGTCGCTATCGTTCTAAGGAATTGTTTTTATTGACAAACCGTCAAGAAACGAAAAGCGTAGCTTCGCGCAAATCATTCAGTTGAGAATAATTTTCGAATGTATACGTACTCGTAACTCGGATTATTGAAATATCATTGATATCGTACGTTGTGCCGTATCCTTTACCGTTCAATTCGCTATAAACCGCGACACGCTCTACCCTATCGGTATAAAAAAGCAAGTGATTTTTGTTGACGTGCATTCATTCCGCTCTCTCCACATTGTTGTCTGTATGTTGCACGCTGGCGTACCATATGCTAGTGCATTAGATACTTATGACACAATAGCTGCACACGGATAACAGACCTGTCATCTAGTTACTTAACGCTGTTAATAGCAATTGCAGCGCAAAAGGTTGAAGACCTCTAACAATATCGTGCACGCATCTCGAGAAACCTCCTCCTTTTGGTCTATGCCCCAGAATGGAGCAACGTGGAGCTCGCGTTGTCCGCTTTATGCACCATACACTTGAACTATCTGTTCCGTTTTCGCATGGCACGTGAGTATAGCTCAGCTTAGAGACTTTTGTTAGAAGTCGGCAAAAGTTTTCGACGCAAATAAGCCCGCAGTCGTAGAAACTATAAAAAGATATTTGTCCTTCAGATGTGTGCGATGAGTGTTTTAGGTAAACCCATTTAAACGTTGCTCCCGGTACCGTTGCCTTTCAATCAAGGCGTTAGCGTGTGTTTAAAGAACTTTTTTTCTGGAAACGCAAATCCTGTCATCGGAGTTGACAGGAACGCTGCAGGGCGCCGATCAGCCGGCTTAGCGCGTAGTTGTTATTTTTAAGGAAAACCTAGATATGAAAGAGGTTCAACGCCTACCGCATTACAACCTACTTCACTGGTGAGTGAGCCGTTTGGAATGTCTCATTTGAACGTGAGCTATTACATTAAAACTTTGTTCTAGTTTAGAATTGCCTGCGAATAGGTATTGGACTGAGAAGACATTATAAGATAACCCGAGCTATTTTCTTTCAGAAAGTGAGCTAGGATTTTTTTGATTCTACATCATGACATGGATACTAAAAGTAAAAAAAGAGCGTACTACCGTGCCAATCCTTCAGATTATAATCCAGCTGTTATGATTTTACGGTGCAAGGAATATATATATATGCACTACTTGGTAGAAGTAACACTTAAGACGTTCTTACTCACATTTCATTATGATGAGTAACCGTGTCGCATTGTGACTGCATGTTTATCGGGTCACCTTGTGTACAAACTATAGTACGCAATTGTAATTTAATAATAACAGTTGTTTCACATGATGAGAACTTAATTAGTACTTAACAAAGAAAAGGCTACAAACAAATAACAAAAATCCTATTTCTTACGCATTGGCCTAGAAGTAATCTCCATAAGAGCGATAGTATATAGCTCTCCCAGTGGATTCGACAAGGTATTAGAGATTTATTAGGAACAACTATCAACGATCATCTTTGACGCAAAAGAACGCCGTGCGCTGGACAATGAGCATAGAGCGTCTGGCGACTGTTTCGCCAGAGCAACAGATTTCGACTGTTGTGTGGTTGAAGTGAATCTTTAGTGCCAAGTAATCACTAGTCGCGGGTAGATGCGATTCTCGCACCATTGCTCGAGCTAGTACCAGCTACCATCATCTGTGTCGGTACGCTTGGCGCTAACTGTAAATCTGGTAAGCGTTTGCAACTATCCTTGCATCGGAACCAAACGTCTCCAAACACAAATCGACGACGATTTGAAATGTAGGCGCTTGACCGAAGTCACGCAATGCTTCTGTTCCGACTTCCCCCAATGCGAAGGGTACGGAAAAGCGGCCTGTCTATGGAGCGATTGCTCATTACGCAAAGTTACGTTCATGCACTTTGTTTTGGGTCGGTTTTTTATACTCAATAAACATGCGGTCGGTGAATTTAGATGCAGCATATGAAGAGCTCCGTAGGCCATGGGTGTGTAAGTATATGCGCGCGACCCGGCTGCGCTTGTCGCTTCTGTTGAATAGTGCTATCAGGCCTTGGCTGGCGTAACTAGTCCGATTCAGAAGGGAAACGTTTACTGCGCCCATATATATATATATATATATATATATATATATATGTATGGGACGTTCAGTATCGCGCTGTACAGATGAGAGACTCGCACGTTGTCGGAATATTATCCACTGATCTAACCGCCTCTGAAATGTTAGGTCATCTTCATTCATAGTACCGTCGAGGCCGCTGTGATATTCGGTAGACGGGCCGCACCGATTCACATTCATGGTATATTAGGGCGTGGAAGGTTGTCGGTTCGCCTGCTGGGTCTATTACGATCTTACAAATACTATTGGCGGCAATGCCTGAAACGCTCGAAGTAAATATGACCAGGAAGCAGTAAATATTCGACGGGAACCACCGTATAGGGCACGCAAGCATCTTCCGCGGAACTAATCTCGTTTGAGATAGGTACGTCGGAGCGGGTTTTACAATCGGGCCGACGTCGTGTAATCTATGGACGCACATACACTTGTTAATAATGAAGATATTGTGAAAATCCGGTTCGTACTAAGTGCACGCAGTTATGACATGTGTCATAGTAAAAATCCGTTGAATCGAACGAAGGATTTATATCGGCTTGAAAATGGTCCCTTGTCTTCAAGCCGTAAGTAGTAGAAGAAGTTTTGATGACATCTTTACAATTACTAGCCTTGTTTTATGTCGATCGAGAAGTCGAAGACTAAATTCTTGTTAGTATCGAGTATTCGAGGTTTGTAGCTCGTGCCTCGGTTTTGTAGGCTACCGATTTCTGATGGGACTATTTGATAGAACTAGGACGAACTTAAATAAGTAATTGCAAGAGGCAAGTACAGAAATCTCGTAAGGCTTTCCAAGCACATCTTGATATGTAAGGTCAATTATTCACGAAGCTCCCAAATGTCTCCGCTAAGCCAAGTCTTTCGCTGCTGCCCTTTGGCCTTGCAAGATTGATCCAAGTGCCCGGACTTGCCGAAGTCATTTCAGGCATATTTAGGTCATTCAGTAGAACCTCATGGTGCATTGCACACCAACGATTATTTAACGGGTCTTTGAATAAATCAGTGACATCGTGTGCACAAGATAGATGCATCGGTGGCATTCTTATTGTTGTATTAAATTATTATATTGGGTACCCAGATTTATTCTGAGCCTATTCTACTTATCTTTGTAAAAAGCTTAAAATGACACATATTTAATTTAAATTAGGCAACAGGTAACTGTTCGTGTTAATGACGCTCTACAAACTGTTCACGGTTTTAGGACAAAAATCTTATTCTTGTTTATACTTAATCATTGCTGAATCCTGATAAATTGTTTCAGATACACATGTTGAATTTGCTTAGCGTCAGCTGGGATTTCTCCTATGGTAATTATCGGACCAGACGTATCCAACGTTAATTATGACCTTCATTAATGCCTCAGTGCTAGTCGGGGTATAGTACTTGCTTTTGTCCGTAATATTAAACCACGTTCGGGCTAGCAGTGTAATCCAAGCGAGGGTAGGTCGGGTAAGTTAAATGTTTTTCTTACCCATTGTTGACCTCTCGTTTAATGGCCTGTCCTTATTTCCTGTTACAGGTAAATTTTGGCTGCCTTCTGGCTGCTGGTCGGGGCAGCACTGACGTGATGCTACCTAGAGGCGTCGTTGAACACCGCCCTTCCCGGCTGCAGCCTCTTTCCCCCAGTTCAAGAGTGGAACGACAGCTTAACAAAGAACCTTTACAAAGACAGCAGTGTCCAAATCCCTATAGCGACATCAGGACTACGAAGATTCCGCTTGCGCGGCTCTCACGATGAGTATCGGAATGTTGCTTAAGAAAAAGAAGTACCGTTTTTTGGTCGATTGCACCATCGAAGAGTTGACGGCTGTGCCATACGTCAATGCCATTCTTTTCGCCAAGCTGCGCCTCCTCGAAGGAGGCACATTTACCGAGGAAAGTCCGAGACTCGAGGTTTCCGACCATTCCGTAAGGTTAGTAGTAACTAACGTTCTTCCTTTCTAATCTGTCATTATTACTATTATTATTATCATCATCATTATCGGTTTTTCTGCTAAGAGCCTTCGTATGCCTTCTGTACAAGAAAGTAATGCGAAAAAAGGTAGGTGAGCTTGTTTCATCTACGACATCGATGATGCGAATATGCAGATCCTCTAAAGGCAAAAGGGGTAGGGAAGTAGGCGTCGAACTTAGGGTCCAACGTAGCATGGCCATGTGTATAAAGTAAATCTCACGATTCAACCAAGCTTCTTTGGGTGGGGAGGGGGGGGACAGGCCGTTAAAGGCCGCTTGCTCAAAGCGGGAGAGTCTTACGGCCTGTTGTTCCATTAATTGGATATTGGCAAAACCGGCGAAAGGCCAGTGGTGCCTTTTGAGTCCTGTCAGCACGGCCTTGGATTGTCCGAAAGCAGGGGAATTTTTAGCAATTTCTTGTACGCACTTAGACAAGTAGTGCCGGCCTCCTCACATAATTACCCTTCAGCTTTACCGACTGTGAAAATTGTTTGTTACTGAAGCTACAGCTGCCGTTAAGCGAGTTTGTCGGGACCATTACCGTGGCCGCCACGTCACTTGTCTGAGGCGATTGCCTATTGCACGTGACGCTTAAGAGGATTTTTCACTCTTTGTGTTTCAGCCACCCGTATCCTTCGGATTGTTGGAAGGGGCTGTGCAATTTAATCAAACAAGAGATTGCTTTTTTTTCGTTTAAGCCGTCTTTCGATAACCTCTTATGTGCTGCCAGCTTTATCTAGAACCTGCCTATAAGCTTTAAAAACAATAATAGTGTTGTCTTTACAGATATTCGTAGGGGTCTCATAAGATTATGCATGTCGAAACGAAGAGTACTTCGCAATATTGACGTTTGAAGTGCAACAGCGTTAGTTGTAACAGAAATGATTGGATCTATTGGTATTGCTATCATCAACCTAACGTAACCGCCTACCAGCAGTAGCGTAGTTACTGCTCGGAAAGCAAGCAGGACCAACTAACTTATGGTCCTTTTTCCACCTTCTCGCTCTCTGTTCTCTGGAGGCAGATGGCACAAAACGTTTTCATTTCAAAGCAAAATGACGGCGAATGCGGCGACGGGCGTGCTGGACGCGTGCCACTGCCGCGTGTCCATCCGCCGCGAGGCGCAGGGAGGCAAAAGCTGCCATAAGCTCGGCTTTGTGGACCTCAACTTAGCTAGCTTTGCGGGTCAAGGCGCCACGACTCAGAGGTTCTTGCTTGAAGGCTATCGCACAAACCACCGACAGGTACAGCAAACATTTGGCGCACGTCTTATTAATGAAAATTGTTTCTCAGTTTGTAAAAAGTGTATATATGTATAGCCAATTATCGAATACATTCACCGAGGAGACGCTAGTGCCAAAAAACTGTTCTTTGATATGTTTATGTGTGTGTCTGTGTGTTTTACAGGATAATTCGATCCTGCGGGTAACGGTGAATATGACGCTAGTGTGCGGTGACCCGTGTTTCAAGACGCCAAGCCGTACAGCTGCGGGCGAAGGAGATGGCATCCATACGAGCAGTAGCGCTTCCGCCGGTAAAGGTGGCGGCCAGCCCCCGCAGGACGGGGGTAGTCCGTCGCCCGATTCGTCACCGCTGCAGGCCAGCAGGACACTTCTCGCCCCACCATCGTCTGACGTCGATTACAGCAGCCTGCCTCGCCGGCAAACCAACCCTAGTAAGTTGAGTTAACTGCATGTCTCCATTAGTCATTTTCTTCAAGAAAATCTGCTAGGTTTAGCTTGGAATATCACTGTATTATGTAAAACCCTTTTCGTTGCAGAAGAATTCTCATATCACTGATTATTAACAATGAAACATTATATTATTAATATCATGTTGTATTGTTTTTAAAATAAAACTATGATCCCGCAGCATGATAAGAAACTGGATAAATTGAATTAGGAAACAACTTGTAACTTGAAATGCACTCTTCAATTCTCTAGCAGATGGTTGTAGCAGTGGAGGAAGTAGCGCGGAAACACCGCCTCCGTCATCCCAATACCCGCTCCTTGAGCGGTTGGACAGTTGCTCGCTGGCGGGCACATTGAGCCTTGCAGGTAGTGGAACTGCTGTCACGTCATGTTGCGAGTCGGGAGCTGGTCTTCCGACTGCTGCCGAATGCGGCTGCGCCGTTTCAGCTGGCGGGGCCTGTCCTGCAGGTCAGGGCGGCAATCTTCACCAGCGTCAAGGCAGCGGAGACTCGAATCAGCACCTGCGCATTCACAGTTCGGGATCCAGCCACTGTGACAGCGCCAGCGGTTCCCTTAAAGGCTCGAAGCGTAGCAGTCACAAGAACCCTCTTAATGTAAGTAGCTATAGCGTGTGAGTATACATTTTCTTTTACTTATTCTACGTTTCCTACGTTTGGCATTGATTCGTGTCACTAGGTCTACGAGTCCTTAAACGGCATCAAGGTTAAACAGAGCACTGACGAAATAAACTGGAAGAAATTATACCGTTGTTTTGATGCTGCTCTAGAGTGTAAACGGGTAGCAGATCACTAGAGACACTCAGTGCTTCCCGGTTTTCTATCATAAGTTCTGTTTTCGTTCGCCTTTGCTCCTGGATTCATAGCTAGAATAAAGCTCTGACTCCTTTAGATCGTTTAAATAGCTTTTATCTCATCCTTTGACTCTCTTTATTCCCATTTTCCAGGTTGTGGAAGAACGGGGCAACACAAAAATGGACTCAACCAGAGTCGACCCTGATGTTCTCATTAATCAGCTGATCCTCTCTAGCAAGTTGTCCCCATCTCCGGTTGGTAGCGGTGGTGGGGTCGTATTGTGCCCTTCACCATTACCCCTGGGGGGTACGCTCAGCAGCGGTCCTGATTCGGGTGTGGGCATTGAACATGAGTCGGAACTAGAGGGTGGATTGCGACTGGTGATTGGACGGGACGGGGTGCCCGCATTGACGGCGAAAGACCACCATTAGTCACCAGAACCACCTTCGTCCCAGCTCCGATGAAAACGAACAGCGACAGCAATTAGTAGCTCAGAAAAACACAAAAAATGAGACCACGTATCCTTATGGGCGCAAAGGGTAAAAGTACACACATAAAAAAACACACACACACACACCCATATACATGCCGACAGAGACACACACACACACCCATATACATGCAGACAGAGACACACACACACACACCCATATACATGCAGACAGAGACACACACACACACACACACACACACACACACACCTTACCCATATACATGCAGACAGACACACGCGCACGCAAATGCACAGGAAAACCGAAGCAGTCATTTGCATCTACACACTGCACAGAGAATTACATAGCTAGCATCGTATAATCCACTATATGGCTTTGCTATATTTTGGTGAGCTAGTCTGCGCCATTGTTGAGCGTTAAAGTATAACGGATTGAGCTGCTGCAGAGCGAATCAAGTTTTAACAACGGCTTGCGTACGGAACTCCGTTCATTAGGAAATTAGGATGAACCAGATAGGGCAAAGCTGGTCGGTCAATCGGTCGGAAGCAAAATGGCTATGAAGAAAAAGGTGTAATTAATGATGATCATGTCAGTGAAGTCGATGATGCTGCTGCTGCTCCTGCTGGAGCTGCCGAAAATGTCGATCAGATCGACGATGATGATGATGGCACTCTGCTTTGTATCTCGATTTAGTCAACAATAAATAATGTTCAAAGGTGCCTGGTGCACTCCAGTTATTACTATTCTGGAAAAAATATATAACCATACGCTCCTGTAGTTACCGGGTGGTACCCACACGCTGTAAAGTAATTATATTAAATACATAGGCTAATTCGAATCAGTCACGCTACTAATACAAATGATAATACCATTCGTCGACGAACAAACAGATAACCGAGAGAGCGAAGCAATGACAAAAAAGACAGGGGGAGCGGACCGGAAATAAGCACCGACCGTCTTTAGAATACCACATTCATTGAATTAAGGACCAGAGCAAATGGTCATGGATGTTCGCCTTTCTACTTACTGAGTAACACTATGAAAGTTCGTATATTTGTGCCGATGCGGCTCAGCGCCGCTGCCGCAAGCATATCGGCCTCTAGTTCACTCTATCACCACGAGCTGGCGGTGCCTTACAACGGGATCGCATCGACATCGATCCGATGAACGCATTTCAGAACCATTTCGGCATAACGTTGCAATGATCATCTCTTGGAACCACTAAGAGACCGCTGCGGAATGATGTGTCGATGCCTGTTTGCCCTAAATGTTTAAAGGCCATGCACCTTTCGAGCCGCCAAGCTACATTAACAGTATTCTAGCCATCCGTACGATGTGATTGTTATTAAGACGGTGAGAGTGACGGTAATTAGGAAATAGGTAGCGATTTTTTCACCACTCACTCAGAAATGCAGAAAAAATCAGAGCGTTAAATTATGCTGGCGTTAAACTATGCTACGTTTATTAACCTTTGAGCAACGATAGCCTATTCCTATATAGGTAAATACGAGATTGATGATTTGGATCTTTGATATCGTTCCGCTAGACCAACTATTTGAAGATAAAATCGAATTGTGAACATCAATTACGTACGCTGGATACGCTGCCGTCCGAATTGCTGACTCCCTTACTAAGCTATTTTATCTTTGGTCAGTTTAATAGGTCGAAGTAGTAACGCAATCACAATGCCAATAGTTAAGACCAAGTGCTGTAAACCGTATTGCCTTTCTGTCACACTCCAGCTGACGAATAACGGGACTAAAAAGGATAGTTGGAACTTTAAAATACTATTAATAACAAAGGAAGGACAAAGAAACACTATTTCAAAATTCCTAGCTAACTGCGCAGTCGCCAGCAGGGAACACGGGCTGAACGTAACCTTTACCGTCAATAGTAGAGACGGCTGCAGTAATAGCTTGAACCGGAATAGGTCGTTCATATGTACGAAGGAAATATCGAGGCGAACCTGAAGTTAGCAGTGTTTGTGAAGCTGCTGCTGCTTCTACGGTACGGCCATAAAGTAGGGGCGGCCGTCGTCGCAAGACTGTGAGTACGATTCTATAGCTGTTGTGTTAACGTTATTCTATTACTGTAGCCGGAAAACGAGAGTGAGTGAACGATAACGTGGACAGAAAGAACGAGCGAAAAATCGACGAAAAGTGCAAAAAAACATACAATAAGATCATAAAATCGACGAATATAAACAAATCGTTAAAGTCAAACACACGGACCATTAAACGCGTTTCGAGTTCGGGTGAGCGAAGCTGAAGATGCAATTATCACTAATAATAAAGTGAAATACAATATATATATATATATATATATATATATACATATATATTTTTATATATATATATATATATATATATATATAGTAAAATTCAGTAATTTTTGTATTCACTGTTATATGGTCCTGAATCCAGGGAAGAAATCCCTGACCAATGGTTACACTGGTCAGGGATTTATTCCGCGGGGATAGGAATAATTTCGTTTCATGTATTAGGCAAAATGTCGTAGTTTAAGGATACTGCATTGTACCGTACTGATTAATTGTATGTAGGAAAAGTCAACTGTAACCCTTCTTTTCACCTATCTATATTAAACTGCAATTGAAAATTGTAGGTTTCGAATACCCTAACAGAAATGGTGACATCAATACGGTTTCATTTACAAAAAAAAGCTTGTAAAAAAACTGACACAGAAAAGGACCTTTGGTTTCAAGCCGAACGGTCGAAAAAGTTATGTCGGCCCTCAGTACGAGATTGCCGCATAGCGATAAGTTGGTGCAACTTGATGTAGATTGGTGTTAACTTGACACAGCGAATGGTGCAACGCGATGCAGACCGTAAATAGCACTGTTGTGGAGGGGGATGATAGATAATACATGGGCATTTAAAGCAAAGGAATCTAGCAAAGCGTTCATATGGGCAACAGGGGGGTTAGTTTACACCAGTACTTTAATAAAGACGTAACTTTTATGAAATGCCTTGACGAAGCTCTTTTGTGTAAAATGCTGATTCCAAAACGAAGCTAGTTTTTTTTAGAATTGTGAGTCAAGGGTTTTTATTTAAGAGCTGTAAATTAGCCCCTACTGTGCTACAGGCATTACTGCCTCATTAGAAGGATTTGAGCGCTCTGCGAGATTTTAGATCTAATAAAAAATGCAAGACTTTGCTATGAGGAAAATCTAGCCTAAAAAGCTGAAGTTATAGTTGTTTATAGAAGTAAAACAGGCAATGACGCAGGATTTTGTTAAGGACAATCAAAAATTAGATTCTCCCTGTCAAATATTGGAAAAATAATGGTAGCCGTCAAGGATTATTCGCATTTGTTCGAAACTCACCATAGCAGACGATAGATCGTCTGCTATTTTCAATATGAAATTCTATATAGCATTGCAATATTAAATAGACCAGCGACTCATGCGAGTTTTCCTTCAAGAAAATAGAGTGAGTTTTTGATAGCCATTGCACTTGGTTAGCTACTTGCCATTATTTGTTATTATGTGTTTGTGCATACCTTATAGAAACTAACTTAACAGAAAACATCACGCTTAGTGGTCTAAAATTGAACATAATTAAACCTATTTTTATTTGTTTATTGTTTTAAATTTAGTGAATAATAACAGTCTCGAAACGATCAGAACTATATCGATACGTAACCTAAATTCACTAAAGACTTTAATAATATCTTTATTAAGGGTGTTGTTTACTGTTCATCTTTGTCGTCCTCCTTGACGTTCCCCCATACACTTGTTATCTTGTCATTAACATCCACATCTTCATCATTGTCATTTTGTATATTTATCGTCGTCTATCGTCATATATAAGAGCAGACATCACTCAGCTGTTGTTGTTGTTGTTGTTGTTGTTGTTGTTGTTGTTGCTGTTCTGTTACTGTTCTATAATGATGTATCAACTACCGTCCATTTATTGGTTCTTTGTCACTCTCTATGGGAGGGCAAGAGAAACCTGTGTTTCGGCGAGTTAGACTCTTCTGGGTTTGTTGATGAGTTCCCAGATGTCATCCATTTAGTTCTTGGGACTTCGAAAAAACCGACGACTAATCCAAAATTCAGTTTCTCACACACCCACCCCTTTAACAAGCGGCTCGCAGCGCCGACGTTTCGAACTCGCGGCCTTTGGACACGTCTCCTATATCATTCTCTCTGTCGTTTCCATTAGCCCATCCCTTGTGCACGTATGTCGTTGGGGTTCCCTATACAGAAGCCGCGGAGGTGCAAGACATCTGCAGCTAGCGCCATGATCGTTTGCAAGACCTACGCAACTTCAGGCGTTTGAAACACAGACGCGCGCAGAATCTAATCGGTTGATGTATTGGTTTTCTTCTAATTTAATAATTAGTTGTCGTTCACATGCGGCTGGTTCGTTTTCCAGGTGGGTTGAAATTATTTTGAGCTCTTAAGTGATGCTTTTCTCTCTTTATTCATAGTTCGTATCTTATTATGGTTATTGTAGTACAGTCGGTGTTCTTCTAGCTTTATTTTGTCACTGACTCTCATAGTCGACATCTTTATCATCCCCAAGTACCGTCTCCTAATTGCCCTCCGGCATTTTACACGCTCGTAACTCTTTAAGTACTAGAAATTTCTTAATCATTTCATTAACCCGCCAACATAATCACCATTAACGTTATCGTTATCATTATTAATTTAGTAGTAATATATAATACTAGTAATCGTACTGCTCTCTCGACTGATTTCTCGTGTTTTTTTTGTTTGTCTATTTGTTGATTAATAATAACCGCTCAAAATCGTGACCTTTCTCTCTCGTATTCATCTTATTTTACTTGCTCGTGCTCTCTGAAGTCCTTGCGCACCCTCGTATTCCGTCGCTTTCGTTCAATATCCCAGTTGCTTTTACGTTTCGTATGCAACCCTCCCGCCCTCCCTTCTCCCGGCCGATCGTTCGTTCGTTCGTTAAAGTTTCTTGTTCCCCCCGCCCAACATCGTCTCCGGTTATTACAGAACAATGATCTCGTCGCTTAACCATTCCCAGCATTGTAATTATGATGTTTGTCGTCGTAACTAACACTTTTCATCTGCTGCTTACCCATTCATTTTCTTTATTTCTTTCGTTCTGTCTTTTTTAGCATATAATAACACTGTCTCCATAAGTCCTC